ACATGCGATTGCGATTGATCCAAAAAAAGGGATTTTTCGCAGTAGTTCTGATGATTTGTGTGTGTTGACTGGGTAACTTTGAAGATAGAGATATGGATGTCGAAAAATTGATTAATTTGATATGGAAAAAAAAAACCTTTGTAGAGTAGCTAGAAGTATCTCATGAAGGATAAAAAAATATACATAGGATGTCAGAGATGTCCAATCTATGATGACTTTAATGTGAATCAATGCCAAAAGTGTGGTCATTTTGGCCACAACACTAAAAAATGTCGTAACAATGCCAGATGTTTAAAATGTGCAGCTGATCATGACACATCGGATTGTAACCAACAAGAAACTAAATGTGTGAATTGCGTAAGAGCAAACAACAAACTCATCCAAAAAAGAGCAATAGCTCATGTTGCCAATGATCTGCAGAAATGTGAAACCTATAAAACCCTTGTAAAAAGGGTTATTGATAAAACCAATTATCCTATCAAACCCATAATAAAATAGATTTCGACAGGAATTTAATTATAAAAAACATAGATAATTTAAATGATGAAATCTCAGTCAATGAGTTTGTTATATTACACTTGAATATAAGAAGCATCAATAAGAACCTTCAACAATTATGGATTACTATAAGCATGATGAAAATAAAACCCCATGTCATAGTATGCACAGAAACATGGCAGGTAGAAAACACAGGTTTCGTTGAGCTGGAAGGATACAAACATTACTATAACAATGGGCAAATAAACCAAAACGATGGTGTAATGGTCTATGTTAAACAAAACATAGAGGAAGAAACTGAAATAGTTGATATTGGCCAGACTAAAGCCCTTAAAACATATTTGAAAAGAAACCAGAAAAAAATTGTACTAACATCAATATATAGATCACATGATATAAAGGCTGCAGATTTTATTACTGATTTGGAAGTATACCTAAAAACAATTAAAAAAACGAAGAACACTATATCATAGGAGATATCAATATAGATTTGTTGGAACCAGATGCAAGCGGAGATGCTTACATTAACAACTTTTATGAAAGAAGTTTCATACCACTAATCACTAGTATCACAAGACCAGCGACGGGAACATGTTTGGACCATATTTTTGGATCAAACTTCACAAATGTAAGAACTATAGTTTATGAACAATTAATTACTGATCATTATATAACACTACTATTGATAGAACATAATATTAGTAAAAAAGTTAAAACTGATAGTGAATATATTGACCACAAAAAGTTGTTGAGTATTGCAAATAATTATGACTGGAGTAATCTTATTACTCGTGATGTTAATGAAAGTACAAAAAAATTGGTTTCTCAGATAAAAAATATTATTGCAATGTCAACAACCAAATCAAATAATAATCGCAAAAAAATTGTTAAAAGAAAAAATTGGATAACAAAAGGTTTAGTAATATCTTGCAAAAATAAAAATAAGCTCTATTATAACTGGGGTAAGAATAAAGATAGCGTAACACTGAAAAATAAATATCTGCAATACAATAAAATCTTACAAAAATTAATATCAATTGCCAAAAGTAATTTTGAAAGGAATTATGTTTTAAATAATTGTAAAAATACAAAAAGCACCTGGAATTATGTAAATAAAAAAATAGGTAAATACAAGGATAAAAAAATTGAAATTAAAGAAATTGTGCATGATGGAGTTAAGTACATTTCACGGATAATCAAGATATTTCGAATACTTTTAATGAATACTATAATAATGTTGGACTTGATATGGCTAACAAAATTAATCTTAATACACAAGAAAACAGGGAAAAAATAAAGTCAAACGCCAATTCAATTTTTCTATCTTTGACAAATGAGTTCGAGGTAGGGAAAGCTATAAAAAATTTAAATAGGGGAAAAGCTGGTGGTGTAGACAGTGTACCAGTTAAGGTGCTACAAACACTTTGTTCTTTTGTGGCCAAACCTCTTTCGGAGCTTATTAATAATGTCATTAGCACAGGTATATGCCCAGATCATTTTAAGAAAGCAGAAATTATTCCTATATTCAAAGCACAAGATAAGCTTTTAGTTTCAAACTATAGACCCATTTCCCTAATTTCAAATATTGCTAAGGTGTTTGAGAAGGTAATCCATTTTAGGCTGTGTAATTTTATTGAAAAATACAATATTTTGAATAAAAGGCAATTTGGATTCAGGAAAAAATTGTCCACAAACAATGCATTGAACGTTTTTGCTAACACAATATACAGTAGTTTGGATAAGAGTCAACCGACTATGGCTGTTTTTCTAGACCTGGCCAAAGCCTTCGACACGGTTGATCATTCTATTCTATTAGAAAAGTTGCATAGAGTGGGAGTGAGGGGCCCAGCGTTTGATCTGCTCCGGAATTATTTAAGTAATAGAACACAACGGGTAAAAGTTAACAGCACCTACAGCACAGAATTAACTGTGAAGATGGGTATACCTCAAGGCACCATTTTAGGACCCTTTTTCTTTATAATCTACTTGAATGATCTATTGGAGTTAGACGTTGACTCACATATTATGTCATATGCGGATGATACTGCAATAGTCCTGTCGGGGGAGAGTTGGGCGGGTCTGGAGAATCAAGCTAACAAGTCAATCAATAGAATAGCATCGTGGTTGAGGAAAAATAGATTGTCATTAAATACAGGAAAAACTAATTGTATGTTGTTTGGCACATATAATGACAAAGTTCCTGATAGTCTTAGGATAGTTATTCATGATCGGGATGGAGAATGTAACATGTGTAGCTGCAGACCATTGGAATGTACTAGAAGTACTAAGTACTTAGGTGTTGTGGTGGACAATAACATGAAATGGAAGCAACATATAATTGGGTTAAATAAGAAAATAAGATATTTATTATTTGTTTTTAAAAACCTTAAACATGTATTGGACACAAAAACCCTGCTGATGATCTACTATGCCCTATTTGAATCTGTGGCTACATATGGTATCGTCTCTTGGGGATGTGCATATGGCAATGTGATAAACTATGTACAAAATATACAGAATAGAATTATTAAAATAATTTTTGGGATAAGAAGTGTGAACCTAAACCAAATCTATAAAAATAAGATGATTTTGACAATTAAACAAAACTACTATTATAAATCATTAATTACAAATTATGACTCCTTGAAAATTCAATATTTATGTAGACAAACAAACACCAGAAACCGAAATATTCCATGCATACAAACACTATTGGAGGTGGGTAAAAAGTCATCCGAAGTAAATGCTATTAAACTCTTCAATTTATTACCAAACAATCTAAAAAAAAGTAAAACAATTAATAACAGATTTAAACATATTATAAAAGAATTTTTAATAAATGAAAACATCACCCATTTGTGAAATTTGGAAATTTTGTACCTTATTACACTTTTACATTAATTATTAATAATTTATGAAATATTATAAAGCTTGTAGTATAAGTAAGCATTTTTAAATAATTTAGTTCTTACGGTAACTTTAGTTTAGGTACCAGGCCTGCTCACAGACGCATGTGCGCCTCATGCAGGATATATATTTTATATGTTTTATATTTTATATTGTAATATTTCTTACACCTGGAATAAAAATTGAATTGAATTGAATTGAATTGAATAAAAAATTGAATATGACTGTCAAATCATATCACATGAGAGACATGCAGAGAAAATACATCCTTTAAAATATCATTAACCCAGCACTTTTTTCTTTTTAACAATTTCCGTCTAACAAGATAATTATATTTTTGAAAACAATCCTCCATATTACTCCACTACTCAAAGACGAAGTCTGCAAAAACTTGTCCAGTGGACGATATCACATATGCGAAATCTGACGAAATTGTTCGACCAGCCTAAATAAATCCGAAACCGTGCATAACAATCCTATCAAACTATATATATTTATATTTGTCTTTATAGACGCTTTCAAAATATATAAAAATATACAGGGTGTTCTATTAAAAAAACCTATCTGATGTGTCACACTTTTTGACACCCCTGTATATGCGCAAATACAAAAAACAAATTAATGATTTAAATCAAAACTTTTGTATTTAACTTTTTGTCATAAATTATCTATAGGATTTTTACGCTATATTTAGGATGACGTCACATTTAGTAAATTTCTGCTGCTAATCTAACAAAACTAAAAGTACTTTTTAACGCATTTAAAGTAGGGGAATTTCAGATGTTTTTGGTTGCAGCGCGCGACGTTGCATGACTTGTATAGACATTTCCATTTCATTATTTTTAGCTTTGCTATTGTCAGAATTATTGACATTCCGGTAAATTATAAGAAAAAAAAATGGTATTGACAATATTGTTTGTCGTTGTTCGATGACGTCATCCTGAATATAACATAAAAGCCTATATATCCATATTCCGAGATAGGACAAAATAAACGGACCACCCTGTACATATTAGGGCTTTTAAATGACCTTACTCTCAATAAACTGACTTGTCCAATACTTTATATCATATTTTTCTAATATATGCTCCGACATAAATCAATAATAATACTTTGAGTGCAAGGAGAGATTTCTTTGGCATATTGTTTGTTTTTAAAATTGTTAACGGCCTGATTGACTGTTCTTTTCTTTTAAGCCAAATTGGTCTAAATGTTCCTTATTATATAAGTATTAGACATCATTCTACTTTTAATATTCCTTTTCATAGAACATCTTATGGTATTTACTCTCCAATAAATAGAAACTTGCTAAAGATTAATAATCTAGATTTAGACATTTTTAACGTGTCCTTGTCTAAATTTAAAAGAGACTACAAAATAAGCTTCTTGTACCTTAATAACAACTAACTGTGTTATTTGTATTGTTCCTTTTCTTTCAATGTTATCTACATATTAGTAAATTATTTATAAATATTGTCACATTTACTTACTTATATTTAATTTTTTTTGTAAAATTTCTTTAATGGGGTTGTCCCGTATAATAAATAAATAAATAACAACTAACATGTAGGTAATACAAACAGAATAGACTGTACCTTCTAATTTAATCCAATCTGAATCTGATTGGTCCGAAGTTGATTTTTCGTGTGTACTTATTTGGAAAGCTTCTGGATAAATCGGTGGCAAGTGTTGAGCCAGCAAAGCTAACCCACCCAATGAGCTGAACACTTGCAGCGCGCTGGATATCGGCTGGTGAGCAGTGTGATTCTTATCATCGGTAACTGGAATAAAACAATCACAACAAAAAATTCAACCATCAACCAGAAATACTTACTTCTCCCTTGACAAATACTCAAATGGATATAGGGCCAATCGTTGGTACCGCTACCAGCTTCTACCAGTCGCAGCAATTGCCCCAGATTCATATTCAAAGGCAACGGGTCCTGCGAATAACTCAAACATTTTACTATGCGTCCGTCGGATGGGTCGTGGCTGCAACTAGTTTCGGCAGCGTAACGTTTCTTTTTCGATTGCGGAGTCGATGTGGCGTAATTCTTAATGTCTTTGGCGCGTTTATCTTTGGCAGTCACTCCAGCGGCCACGCTTAGATCTGATAGATCTTGCGCGCCAAAAAGGTCCTTAATTTGAGCGGCATTTCTTTTCGATATCGTCACCGGACTCGCCGGTAATTTCCGGATTGCTTCTGCCGTTTTATATACGGCGTTAAACCACAAATGTTGCTCCAGAATTTCACCCAACGTAGTTGTAGTGCTCAAATACAACATGGTCCGGTTGTATGTTTGTTTGAAAGCTGGATGAGCCGGTATGTACACTTGTCCTACTCTTGAAAATTTATAGATCTCGTCAGCTTCGATGCTCACAGGTACTTTTTCGTTTTCGAGCAACAATTGCAGGATCAGCCGCCGTAAAAAGCCTGAAATGCCATTTTGTTGTAAGGTTATAACTTCGCACAGTACCGTGGCTAAGCGAACTTGGTTCTTGGGATGACACAGGCAACATTTGGCTAAAAATTTAATGCAAACCTCTTCCAAGTGCACGTGCGCTTCGGATTGAATGCTAGAGCTATTGTATGGCTTTTTGCAGAGCCAATGTAGCAAGCGAGGCCAAAACGAAGATCCATCTTGGGACCCTAGCCAGTCACGAAGCATTTTTTCATCACAAACGTCGGTGAAAAATTGTAAAATTATAGTGACCTTTTCTAGTTTTGCCATCGGCAGTTGTTTGTTGTTGTTGCAAAACTCACAAATGGCGCTATTAAGTAACTTTGGTAAGCCACTGTCCAGTAGTTGCTGTATGGCTGTAGGAGACCTGCTGGCCAAAGCAACAGTTTCTAATTGTTCCTGGTTTAAATTCAATTCAGATAATTCTCCAATGATCAAGTGACTATACCATTCACTGTTGGCAAAATCTTGTTTTCTGTCATCGGTCATTCCTTTACAGTCGTCGCTAATTGAAGATAAATTTGGCACGAGAACACCAATTTTTTGCAGCAACAAAGGAAACAGTTCAGAACGATTGTAGCACAAGGAGCACAATAAAGAATCCAAAGCGTACCGCAGGCTGTTATTACTAGCCTTCATTTTGAGCATATAAATTGTTTCAAAAAACTGCAACGTGATTAGTGATTTCAAATCGTAGGTAACCTGTGCTTGGTTGCTGTACCACAAAATTGACGCTATGCTAGACACATAGGCGGCACTACATTTGCTAGTATTGCCAGTTGCCAAGCATTCATTAGCAATGGCTTCGAGCCACTCCAAAATCAGTTTTACTCGGCAACTCGTATTGGCATCCTGGTGCTCGCAGATTTGATAGAGCAACTCACAAGCAGACTGATAGCCTGACACGTTAATCATTAATCGGTCCTGCCAAGTATTGTCCAGTGACATCATAGGCGCCACAATACTGAGGCGATTATCTAATAGAATCCTGATAGTCTCAATACCATTTTCCGGTGATAAAAGTGCTAGTTTTCTTAAAAGTTTTTCCAAACAAGGCAAATACACTGGTGTAATGTAGGAGGGCACTAACAGCAAACCGCAGCAAGTGTTCAACAGGTTAGGCACTTCCGAGGCCTTTGTTACTATATGCCTGTGCAACTCTGCATCGGGCAATACCATTGTGAAGCAGTGATGGAGAAGCCTTAACCAACCCAAACTGTGATTACAATACGATTCCTCTTCATATTCACAGCTAGCGGCGTTTTTGCCAAAAACTGACGCGCCTAATAAACGGATTTGCAACAGCCCAATACTATTGCCCACCTTCGGTTTGTATAATCTGATTAAAACGCAGTTGACAACTTTGGCTGTAGGCAAATTGATTCTGATAAAAGTGAGGCCGCTGCTGGGTAAAGGATGACACGCTGGTACGAGTCCAGATGGACCAGTTGCGGACGTCTCGAAGGCCACGAATGAGGGGCAAGTGGACAGGCCTAAAGTGTGAGGTTGTAGTTGGACTTCTTTTAGTAGAATAGCGTGCGGAAGTTGTAGGAGGAGTTCGGTGTAAGTTTCTTCTTGGTAATAATTGTACGACCATAGCGGGGATCTCGCTCTACGATGCGTTACTCCGGTTACGCCCTGGGAATTAACAAGAAATGTAATTTGTAATGTTTGTCAACTTATGAACGCTCTATTTTCAAAAAAAAAAAAATTATTGCAAACATGCATAATTTCAAGTCTTGTAAAAAGATTTGTGATAAGACAGTGCACCCCAAGAGAAAGTTTACATGAATACTTTATGTGTGGGTTCCCTCATCTTATGTATCTTGATGTTTAGCAGCAAAATCCTTGGGGTAAAGGCCGTCACATACGCTTTTGCATAACGCATAAATATCATTCTGTTCTAGTGGAAATTTTTGTGCCAAACTTGCAGCTCAAAATCAGGTGACCTTTGATAGAACCTGTTATTGGTTGGTGCTTATGCTTCTGAATTATTAATTGTTTTTGGTGGATTATAGTGATTAAAATAGTTGAGTTTTATGTCTAGAAAGAGCTTAAATTTTGCTCTATCTGGTGAGTATCTTCAAGTCGTAATGTTTTTCATCCCTTACCAAATAATCCCTGTTTAAAAACCATTGTTAACCATTGTTTTCAATATACAGCTTATTTTGGAATAAAGAAACAATCTTTTGTCAGTTGCAAATCTTCAATTTGTATCAACAAATTTGTTTACACTAGGAGAACCAAATTATTTGAAATTTTTGGAAGAGTTTTCGCATGGATGGGGATTTGGAACACTTTATATGGACACATTTTAAGTTTGAGTATGCTTTCTATTAAGTGTGAAACCTGTTCGAATGACTGTGTTCTTAAGAGCCGCCCAAAGGAGGATGAGGTTTTTGGCTCCCCTTGCTACCTATGTCAACGCGCTTTCTGTAAATTATGTGTGCAAATAACAACCACTGAGGCTCATGCTGTCTCACTAGCCCAAAGAAATTTGATTTTTTTCTGCGAAGGTTGCAAATTATCATTAAGAGAGCATATTAGCTACTTAACAAAGTTAAAAATGCTCTTGGAAAACTATAAGAAAATAAAACAGGACTCTGCTGAAAAGGATAGAAGATTGGAGGACAAATGCTTCAGGGACATGCATGAGCTTCAAGTTGTAATTGATAAGCTTTCTGCTGATAATAAAGCTAAAACTGATCACATTACATTAGGAGGATTAACAGGAGAAGGCAAGATTTTGAAAACATCGCTTGCAACATGGAACAGGAACTTTTGGCTTCAATAAATGACCAAAAAGGTGAAATACTTCAACTAAATCAGAATTGATCCAATCTTATCACCATTAATTTGGATTTAAATAAACAGCTTGAGGAATTTCAATTGACTGTCAGACTCAAACGGGATCTTGGGGAGATAACTGAAACCAACAAGAATATGTTAACCACCATTCAAGTGCTCTCAGGAGAGAAGGAATCATACATTGAGAAGGTGAAGCACGCCAAAGTAAACCTACTACATGCTAAAGAGGAACTTAAAACAGCTAAATCTAGGTATGATTATTTGGAGATGATGAGGCATCAAAAGTCTTCAACTGGAGCGGGACCTACCACTGAAGATCTTGCAAAGTGTTGTGAACCAACTGCCACAGATGAGCCATTTGCTCTGGCAAATGACAACAGTGTGTTGAAAGACTGCATCACCTTGGATAAAGAAATAGAAAGTGCGAGTCATCAGGCGAGTGCTTCATATTGCGTGCCCAGGAAGTGTATTGCGGTGATTCCAGCGCAAGATTGACCGACTGAGCTTGACTTTAATAAATAAAATAAACTAACCCAAATTAACATAGAGCATGCAAAATTGAACTATTATTATTCAATTATATTCACGCCTTGCTCGAGGTGATCACATTGTAGTATTCCGCCCGCTAGGCGGCGTTTACGTATCGGTACCAAGTTGAAAAAACTAATATATCCGCTCCCTTCGCACATCCCCTGTGTTCCTTGTCTTGAGTTTTTAATTTACGTGCGTTGGGTTCGGTCGTTCGTGTTTGTCGGTATCGTTGCTCGTAGAAAAATGCGGACTTCTCCAGATTTTTCGGCAGAAAATTATTCTTCGGATGATAGTTCGTGTTCGGATTACAAAATATTGAAAAATAAGCGTCTAATTAAAAGGCTCAATCGGGAAAACGAACGTATTAAGCGCGTTAAAAATGGGCGAAAGCGCCAGGATCGAGTTTTGGTGGCCCGGCACAGAGCGCCACCGCATCGCCAGTGTCGCCGTTCCAGCGAAAGAAAGCGAGATATATCACCATCTTCGTCGTGTACCTCTTCGTCACGAACGTCCTCTCCAACGTCAAAATTCCGGCGTATCCACGTGTTAGACAGTGACACAGAGAGGGATGTTGAAAGTAAGTTACTTGTTTCTCCTTAATCCTAGTGATTTCGAGTAAAATCATCTAGAAGGTCATGAATATGACGTATAAATCGTTGGAGACTGGATTGGTACTGATTCTTGATCAAGAATCGTACTTATGTCATGAGCATGACTGTTGTTCTCCTTCAGATTTTGTTCTGGTTACAGCTTCCTAAGAAATTTTAACAGGTATGTATTGTTTTAGATAAGCCGGAGGAGGTTGCCCCCGATACGTTGAATAAAAATATTTTATCCATACTGCGTCAGGAACAAGAAGATGTTATTTTTGCACCTCCTCTCCACAAGGAAATTGCGACCCAATGGGAATTGTTATTTACGAACGGTATGAAAGAAGATGAAAGGCGTATCCTAATGGAGAAGTATCACATGCCTCAAAATTGTCCTTCCGCAACGCCCCCTAAGCTAAATTTAGAGGTTAAAGCAGCTATCAATGAAGTGTCTCTTAAAAGAGATGAGCGACTGGAAAAAGTGCAAGCTCAGATGGGAACCAGTCTAGCTGCCTTAGGAAAGGCTCTTTCCATGTTGATAAACAGAGCAGAGTCATTAAGCGAGACAGATGATTAGCTTTTGGAGATCATTGAGGCTGTTAGTGATGGAGCCAAATTACTAACGGATATCCATCATAATCAATCCGTGTCAAGACAAAATGTAGTTAGTGTCAATCTTGATAAGAGCCTCAAAAGCTTGATCGAAAATACTGATTTTGATGGCTGGTTATTCGGAACGAATTTGAGCAAGAGATTGGAACAAGGAAAACAAATAGTCAAGTCAGGAGAGGAATTGAAGCTTAAGGTGGCACCACAAAAAAAACCGAGAATAGATTCAAAAAACTCCCAATATCCTCCCAGGCGGCAGGTGGGTCTGGGAGGATCCCGGCAATTCAGGAAGAGATCATCGAGTGCACAGGTACAACCGAGGACACAACAGTACCGGTCTTATCAACGGAAAACAGGGGAATATCATAACCAATACAAGAATTCCTCGGAGAAGGACCGTCGTCGACGTTATTGAATGATACCAGGGAGGCACTGGAAGAGGTAAATTTTAGGGCAGGTCGTTTTTCAAATTTTTTACGGCAGTGGTGTAGAATCACCACAGACCCTCTTATTATTTCTTGGTTGAAGGGTTATAAAATTCCATTTATTAGAAAACTTAATCAAAAACATTTTAATTCAAGCAAAAGGTGGTCTAAATTAGACATTAAGGTCATTCAAGATGAAATTCAAAAATTGCTGAAAAAAGGAGCTGTCCGGAAGTGTAAGTCATCATGCAAAAATCAATTTTTATCAAACATTTTTTTGGTTTCAAAGCAAAATGGGAAAAAGAGATTGATTTTAAACTTAAAATCTTTAAATAAATTTATTAAAACATCTCACTTTAAAATGGAGGATAAAAATACGGTTATTAAGGCTCTCCGGCCAAATTGTTATATGGCATCCATAGGATATTAAAGATGCTTACTTTCACATTAATGTTGATAAAAATCATAGGAAATACTTAAGTTTTCAGTTTGAAAATAATATTTATCAGTACACTTGTATTCCATTTGGCTTATGTACTGCTCCGAGGATCTTTACAAAGCTTTTGAAATCTGTTCTCTATTACTTAAGATCAAGAGGTTACATCTCAGTTGTATACCTTGATGATTTTCTTCTTATAGGAGATACATATGAGGATGTTAGGGTGACAGTTAGCATTTTGCAAGAGCTTAGGTTCATAATAAATTTGGAAAAATCTAGTCTTTCTCCAAAAAAATGTTGTACTTTTCTTGGATTGGTATTCAATACTAGTGATATGACTTTGGAGCTTCCTCTGGAAAAACGTCAGCATATCCTCGAATGGGTAATCAAAATAATAAATTTGTCTTATTGTACTATTCAGTATTTTTCGAGATTTATAGGTAAGGTAACAGCAGCATGCCTTGCACTAAAATATGGTCGAGTGCATATTAAAAATTTTGAAAGGGCCAAATTTTTGGCTTTAAAAAAGGCTAGGGGATCTTATTTCAAGATGATGCAGCTTCCAAAATTTATCGTTAATGATTTACTATGGTGGAAAGCTAATATTCTTACTTCATTCAATCCAATTATTTTGTCTCGGAAGTTTAAAATTGAAATTTTCTCAGATGCTTCAAAAAAAGGTTGGGGGGCATTTTGCTCTGAGCAGGGTGCTAATGGCCAATGGAATGTCGAGGAAAGGAATTTTCATATTAATAAACTAGAGTTATTGGCTGCTTACTTTGGTTTAAAATGTTTTGCAAGTAAACTAAAAGACTGTGACATTTTGCTACACATTGATAACACAACTGCAATTGCATATATTAATAAGATGGGGGGAGTTAAATTTCCTGAGCTTAATGGCAGAAAAAATTTGGAATTGGTGTGAAATAAGAAATTTATTTGTAGATGCAACTTATATTCGGTCTGGAGACAACATAGAAGCTGATTTTCTGTCTAGAAAGCATTCACAAGATATTGAATATGGTTTGTCAAATTCAGCCTTCAAGTTTATTTGTAAGCATTTTGGAGAACCTAACTTAGACTTGTTTGCAAGCTGTTACAATAAAAAATGTGAGAATTTTATTTCATGGCATAGAGACCCCGATGCTATGGCTAATGATGCATTCACTGTACCCTGGAATGGTTTCTTTTGTTATGCCTTTCCCCCCTTTGCCTTAATACCAAAAGTATTGCAGAAAATAGGTAATTGTTGATAATGCAGATGTCTTACTTGTTGCACCTAACTGGCTAACTCAAACATGGTTTCCTCTTTTTAATAAACTCCTTCAAAGAGAACCTATTATGCTTGCTCCTAAAGAAAATTTATTGTTATCTGTTGACAGGAAACCACACCCCTTGTGGCACAATCTTTCCCTGGTGGTAGGCCATTTATCGAGCAAGCCTTCCGAGGAAGAAATCTTCCAGAGGAGTCTCTACAAGTAAAGTTATCTTCAATTTCTCAGGGAATTATAGAACAATATAGTAGCTATTTAAAACGTTGGTGGGAGTTCTGCCACTTACATAAAATTGATAAATTTCATTTATCTATAAAATGGGTTTTGAAGTTTCTAACACAATTGTTTGATAAAGGTGCTAGTTATGGTACCTTGAACTGCGCTCGGTCTGCATTAGCTTTTATAATGTCATTAGAATTGGGCACAAATTTTGAAATTCAAAGGTTCTTTAAGGGTATACAGGGGCTCAGACCAAGCAGGCCAAAGTATAATTATACATGGGATCCCACCACAGTTTTAGAATATCTAAGAAATCTGTATCCCAATGAAACACTTAGTTTAGAAAGACTGACATGTAAACTTGTAACTTTGTTAGCTTTAATAACTGCACATCGTGTGCAAACATTGTCCTTAATTAGTTTAGAAAATATTCACAAGCGGGAAACGGGGTTTTTGATTTTCATAAGTGGTCGCGTTAAATCTTCAGGAAACAACAAATCACAACCTGTTTTACAAATTCCGTTTTTTCATAAGATCTTAGGGTGTGTGCTGCCAAAACATTAGATGCTTACATAGAGAGAACTTCTACTCTACGTCAGGATCATACTAAATTAATTTTAACAGTCAAGAAACCTCACAAACCAGCTACAGCTCAGTCTATTAGTCGTTGATTCAAGAGAATCTTAAAGCAAAGTGGAGTAAATACTGAGATTTTCTCAGCCCATAGTGTTAGACACTCTGCGACTTCTGCAGCTAGAAGGAGGGGTGTAAGTCTTTGAACTAATTAAAAGTACAGCAGGGTGGTCTCAAAAATCTCTTACCTTTGCCAGGTTTTATAATAGGCCGGTAATTAATTTGCCTTTCCTATCTTAGAACATTAATGCTAGGTATAGTGTGTTTTGTCGTTGTTTATTGTATAAGGAGGTTATTACTTTATTTTTTTGTGATAATTAGGATTGATTTTGTTTCTAGTTTATTCGAGTTTATTTTGTGTTCTGTTTATGGTTTATCCCAGTTCCTTAGATTAATGGAATTTAATTTGTTTTCTTTTTTTGATGATTTAATAAACAACTTGTTAAATTATTCACTTCCTTTCTTTCAATTATTAAAAAAAAAAAAATCTCAAATCACTCTAAATATCTACAATGTGATCATGAAAGGCGTGAATATAATTAATAGATTAAACGAGCTTACCTAAGTGAAGTTCAATCTTAATTATGTTCACGCCTTGCTCGAGGTGATCACACCCACCTCTCCCTGCAAAACCCGTGATCGCCTGATTTGAGATTTGCAATTAGCCAAATTAAAAACTAAAGACAAGCAACACAGGGGATGTGCGAAGGGAGCGGATATATTAGTTTTTTCAGCTTGGTACCGATACGTGAACGCCGCCTAGCGGGCGGAATACTACAATGTGATCACCTCGAGCAAGGCGTGCACATAATTAAGATTGAACTTCACTTACACTTTATTTTTTCCCAAGATAGATTTTGAAATTGAAAACATGTTTCAAAGTTTTCAACAATAACGCTTGATCCTGATTGGTCGCAAAACGAGGTGTTTCTGCAGGTTGACATCAGTTTTACAATAGCGACCAATAAGCGGCATTAGCGGCATTGTTTATGTTTCAAAGTTGACAATGCCAAAATCTCTCTTTATAGGTAAGTTCGTTTAATCTATTTATCCAACACATGACAGTTATGACCATTATTATTAATGTCATTTTAGACAAGTAAACTATCAAATAACTCACGTTCATATTTAAAGTAGTATTCTATTTATTAGTGAGTTATGGATTATAACAAACGTTAATATTTAAAGTAGTATTCTATTTATTTATTACTATTACAAGCAGAATTCACATGGATGTTGAAATTAAAGGAAACGTTAACGGTTTATTCGAATTTGAAGTATTAGTAAAATTCGTTGGTTCATTGGAACCAGACGCTCTCATATCGGCAGAACTGCTGATAGTGCTAGAAGACGCCGACGCATAGAATCTTGTATTTTTTTTGTATTATCTCATAAAAAAACGATTTCTTCTACTTGTTGGATAAAACATTGTATGCCACTCGTGCGTTATGTTTCCTAAGTCACTTGAGAATTTATACCACTCGGCCTGACGGCCTCGTGGTATAAATTTTTCTCGCGTGACTTATTTTCAACATAACACACTAGTACCATAAATAACTATAATTTTACTTTATTCGAAGAGATATAAATATTACCTGCGTTAAAACATCTGGAGGTTGCGACGTTACCGACTGACAAGTAATGGTACACAGCGGCGCGTAATTGATCAAACCGTGATTCTCCACAGAACTTTGCAGCGCTTTGTTGGCGCTTGACACTACTAGGGGGACGTGTACATCATTATGATTTGCTACACCGTTGAAATGTTGCATCACAGTCGATATGGTACCGTTTCTCGATATGGTGCTCGGTGTATTGCTGCTACTGACTATGCTACGAGCCAAAATCGATATGCCATCTATGCAAATTAGAAAAATAATGAATACATTTAAGGAAAAATTCCCAAGATCACTTACCAGCATTGTAAAACAACTTGAGAGCCTCTTGGTCATCCAACACTTGAAAAATGAACCAAACTAACGGCTCACTCAATTGAGGCGTTTGTGACAAAAATTGCAAAAGCGGTGTCAGAATCAGCTCTTTGCGACTCGCTTTTTTCGCCAAAATACTTAAAATGTGGAACACGGCGTCTCCTACTGACGTAGGCTCAGCAAAATTGCTAAAAGCAGGTCTGCCAGACTGTTGCGATACATTGTTGATCATGCAAAGTGAGGACATTTTACAACTTGCAAGACACTTGCACAGAGCAACCACGGTGGGATGGTGTTGCAACACTGTGTCAGCAAAACATGGAGCTGTAGTGCTCATCTGTTGAATTTGTTCGGCTTTTGATTCGTCCGTTTGTGAGGTTGCTGAATGATCTGTGTCCATTGGGGCATTGTTGCTATTGGTGTCACTAATAGGAGTCTGCACTAATTTGGCCAACAATTTCAGTAAATTAATCAACAAATCCTCATAAGCAATGGGTCGGTCTTGTTTATTAGACTCGTTGCCCCCCAAAACAGGTGAGAAAAGATGTCCCAAATTCACAGTGCAATTTTTTTGGTCCCATGCCATGCACTTTATATTGTCTACGTTCATGAAGTAGCTATTTAGCAGTGCGGAGGTACACTCGAGAGTGCTCATTCCAATGCTAATATCGATATTGGAAAAATCCAAATACTGAATGGATAGTAGCAGTTTGCACTGGGCGTCTAAGTGTCCAGTTCTTGTGGCAATTGAGCCACCCGGTTTAGATAGTTCGTAGACTACGTGCAACAGAAGGCGTTTGAAGAGGTTTCCCAACTTGCTGTTCGGACTGACTACGTCGCATCTCACTTGAAGTCTAACTAGGAAATCGTGCAGGGCTTTACAAAGAGTGGGGCCAACCTGAAAAAAATTACATATTTTTCAATTTAAATGAAATTGATGAACTGTTAGTCACTACAATGCAGATTACTATAAATTTAATAATTAAATTATCTCATGTCAACTGGCACAAAAACTTACCTCGTTCTTATTGGTGAAGGCAATACCATTGCCTGACAAAAGACTGATAAACATTTGCACAAAATCACGATGATTGACGATGGCATTGGACATGCCAGACAGATCAAAACTTGTTATTCGTATTCGGCTATTGTTGGTATTGCACACCAAAGTTAGAGTCTGAAATAATTATTAGAAATAAATAAAAAGGCTGACCAATAACGTTCTCAGTTGTTCAGATAGAGCAGAAATATAGAGTCTAAGATAAGAGCTAAATACTAAATAAATTCAAAATCACAAAACAAGTACATACTTGTAGTCCCAAACACCAAGTAGTCAAAGACAATCCCGGAACCCAAGCCAACGCCGAAATTAAAGCGTTTACAGCATCTACAGTAATCAGTACTACTGGCATTGTGGACGAATCAAATTTCTCATCTTTCCTCGTGCTGTTCAAAGTCAACCAAAGATGCAGAACGTTTTCAATTTTACTAGGACTCATTGTTTGCATTTGACTGAACAACTCGTCGAAACAAAAAGACAACATTTGTAGATTTTTCAAGTTGCTCTCTTGGTGGAAGGGACCTAAAGGTTCTGGCCACGGGGCTAGAGGATTTTCGCATGGTTTAAATTTCTCGCTGCTGATATTTTGCAATAGTTTTTGCGTATTTCTATTTGCGAGTTTCCTTAAAGCGATTTCCGAGGAGGAATAGACGCCAGTTTCTATTCGAGCATCGATTGTAGGCGAATTTGCTGAAGTCGTTGAGTTTTGGGCGCGCGCTTCTGGAGTAGCTTTAGCGTTAGCTGCACTGTTGCCAGCTTGAGTCGAGTATTTTACTTTTTCAAAAGCCTCCAACATTTCGTCGATGTCTGAATCGTTGGAATCGGTTTCGTAGACTGAAGGTAAAGCTGAAAATGGCAAGTTGATTTTGCTCATCATATTCATTTTGGTTTTTGATTGATCCTGTTCTTCCAACATGAATACCATTGAGTTTTCTGGAGATTCATTTTCAACATTAACCTCTGGAATATAAACATTAGTATGTTATTATTACAATTAAGCATTCTCACCATTTTGCGAAATAATTGGTGACCAGACAATGTCCATAGCAGTGTCTGTTTCGTTCACTTCAGGATGAACATCAGCAGGTAAGTCCAGGGCATCTTGCAGAAAACAGGAGACAGCGAATGGGGCCCAAGGCACTTTACAGGCCAGGGAAAAATTGATTAGTTCCAATAGTTGATTTTCGGAGAGCAACTGACAGAGTTGCAGCTTAGCCATGGTGACTAGTCTTGAAATAATCTAAAAAAAAGATGTAAGTATTATCTGAAGTTATCTCTAACGGTTGTTCCTTACCTTAAAAGCCAAAAGCATCATATCAGCGCTCCCAGAATGGTCCATGCTGATAATAAACTTCAACAATATCTTGCTCACGGCCAAACAATGAGTTGTATCGATAAATTGAGGCTTCTTCTGAGGCACCATCATCAAATCCCTCAAACTTGTAGGATCTGAGTGTTCCTCAATACTTTTTCCAGCATCCACATTAACACGCGGACATTTTTTAGGCATCATACCTTTTAGGGCTTTAGGATTAAACTCTTTAGTAATACACCAAGGCCCTTTTTGCCATATGGTCGTGTGATACTGTTTCGTTAATTTATTTTGCTCTGAGTCATTGTAGTTTGATTTACCGACCATTTCGCCAAGCACCCAATCCCACCTATCGTTTTGGTTTTTACTGAAAGTTAATTGCAAGGACAAATACATCAACAACCAGGATAATAAAGGCAAGTCCACATTGACTGCTAAAAGCAATGATCTGTTCGCCTCTAATGGCTTTAAAGTATCGTAAACTACCCTCATAGCTGCATCAATGACAGCGCTTCTCTCGGGGCTCTTTCTGCTCAAATAAATCAGTAACACAAACAGACGATCTTGTGGAAATATTGCAGTGCATGATGTGGAATACAATTTCACAAGAGTGTTTGATAAAAAGTCGCCCCAAAATTCACTAGAACCACAAGACTTCTCCAGGACAACAGCGGCTAAAAGTTGCAGTCTCGACGACTGAGACACACACAGGCCTTCAAAAAATTGTTGACACAACTCTTCGGTGATTTCTGCAGGCTTATCAATCGACAAGAGCACTTCAAGTAAAGTTTCTGCAATTGAATTCAATTTGTCCGTTGAAACAACTTTGAACATTTGATTCGGGGGTTCAGCGCCAGGCAATGAAGCCTCGATTCTTGACATTACGTTTCTGATCGTATTCAATTGATGCTGATATGCCAACGTTTCATGATATGCGGTCAATATTTTGTTGTGCTCCGGGTTAGTAACGTTCAAACCTTTATTCTTCAGTATGTTAATGTAAGCTGATAAGTGTATGGTGTTTTTCATGTCGGCCACAAGGAACGGTTGCAGGTAATCTTTTAATTTGGAACAAGCCAAACTATATCTGCAACTTATATCCTCTAGTAGTTTGGATAAGACGGTTAGGTTTTTTTCGTAGTCGGTTACAGGCGGTTTAATGTTGATGTCGTTGGGGATTTCTTCGGGAAGAATGACCACGTGGCCATAGAAATAGCCGAGAGGGATACGACATCTTGTGGTTGTCATTCCTTGACGAGCAACAAGGGTAATCTAGAGAGAAAAAAAATAATGAATGTTATCTTGATTTCTCTGAACAGTCGAAATTTGTGCTTTGCCTGTAAAATGTTTAGCTTTTCGTACTCTTGATTTTTTGATCTTTATTTTTTAAAATGAGCACTGATCATGACATTACTCTGTTGTAGCTTGTAACGTCATCGTAAGTTTGTCTATTAAAAAAAAAAAAAAAAAATGGATTGAAATTTTAATTTAATTGTACTGCTTATGAATAAATAAATTGAATTGAATTGAATTTCAAACCATAAGAATATAGCCCTGAGGATGACACAGACTAGTGTCCAAACGTTGTCCAAAAAAGTTGATATTTTTTTCTATTAATGATTTTTTTTTTGTGAATAGTTTCATTGAATGGTTAGTGTGACCAATGACTTCTTGAATTATTTGGTAGTTCATTGACTTGTGCCTTTGTTTGTTTTTCTAATTATTGATTTGTGAATACAGTTCTACAAAGGCAGTTTTTTATATTTTGGATGACTTATTTTTTTCTCTCTGTAGGTAGAATATTTCAACTTTCTAGTACTTTTTGAATACACAAGAGAATTAGACAGAAACGGAACGAGAACAAATTCTTTATTTTTACCTATGTATGGTATGTACCTACTAAACATAATGAAACAAGAAAAACATATTCACATATAAATGTAAAGTTACCTTCATATATTTACATAGCGGTGGCGGTTGTAGATTGTTCATAATTAAATTATTCGTTCCAATATCTAAGGCAGTCACCAACCGCACGGCATCAAGTTCCTCTCCACAATACCAAACGTCAATGGTCAAAGAAACCAAGTCAGCACAAGATGGTATGAGAATATCAGTCAGAGACACAGGCTCGCCAAAGTCGAGAGTCACATACCGCCTAGCGCTAGAATGCATTCGTTCGATCACAATGACTTGTTTAGGAGGCGGTACCAGCAACTGTTGCCAAGGCAAATTGTGGTTAAAGTTGACGGACGATCTTGATAAACTGCCCATAGTCGCCTGGCTAGATATTTGGCTGATGCCTTGACTAGTGGTGCATTTGACTACAGGCACAGCATCGTCAAAATCTACAAGAGCTATGGGATCTGTAAAAGTCGCATCTGCATTTAGATTACACAAATAAATGATTCTTACCCATTTTGAAGTCCAAAGCTTGTTCGGCTTCCTCTATAAAATTATCCAGTTTAAGATTGCTGCTGATGCTGCCGGGTCCCAAAAGGTCACTTAAATGACTGGCGACGGATTGATTTTTTTCCATGTACTTTGTAATGAATTGTTGCAGGTCTTCTTTTTTATTAGGAGTACCAGGCACTAATGAGTAAAATTTTGCCAATTGTAGTGGCATATTACTCACTGTATTTTGCACATTGGTGTTTACTGCATTGGCATTTACCACATCGGCCATTTCCAATCGAGTACCTTCGCTTGTACTCAAACAAGTAACGTGCAAAGGCTCAGTTTCTATTAGTCCTATAACCACCTTGGGGCAAGCCACATTTTTGTATTTTAGTTTGTTGTCAGTGACGATTGGTTCCTTGAATATATTTTCTTTATTTTGGGGTATATGCGTATCAGGTGCCAAGGTGACTACTGAGGAACTATCATTGGGCACTGCACTATTGGCGTGTGTGTGTATCGAGGAAAACGTATAAAATGAGGAGCTGGAGCCTTTGACGAATGGTGGCGGATCGATGTCGAATAATTCAGGTTCAGTTGGCAAACCGTATAGTCCGTAGCGACTGCGCAGTAATAGATGGTATGGGTTGGATCGTTTCAGTAGATCATCAGAGACCTAAGGAAAAAGTTAATTATATAAATTTGAGAGAAGAGCATTAAATAGACTTCTTCTTACCTCCTTTAATAGAGTCACACATTTACTGGTAACCGATTGTTCAGTGTCTTTTTTGACAACTTTAAGGAGGAGGGCAAACAGCAAATGCAATCCGGCTGCAGATTTTACTTGTTTAATTTGCTCAATTATTATCAGCAAGGAATTCAACACGCTGGTATTGAAATGGTCTCCAATCGATTTGTTGATATTTTTGGCACCACTAGAAAAAATATGTACACTAAGCTAGAATTTATTAATCTCAAAATACACTAACCTACAACACGTCATCACATAATTCATACACTTGTGAGCAATACTCCTGTTAGCCAACAGCAAACACTGTCTCAGCAGCCCTGTCATATTGTCCTCGATGCCATTGATAAACATAAATTCCAACTGATCGTTGGGGGCTTCTCCGTTATTGCCTCTGTTTGGTACCAAGCGTATGGCAGCAATCCAATTCAAAATATCCAGAACGTTGTTCAATATTTCAGGATTGCTGTTGCCCACAGCAGTCGTAATGAGGGATTGCACAAACACATTCGAGTCCAACATGAGATTTCTTAGAGCGCGCTCGTGCGATATCTGAGCGTTGCTTGTAGGCGTGTAAACTGCTATGCTCAGTTCGTGGATGGAGTCGCAGCCCAAGTACTGCTCATATTTCCGTACGCCCGCTTTATCGAGTTTAATGTTACTGGTGCTTTCTTGGCGTTTAAATTTTTTGTCGTTTTTGTCGTACACTGCGCGGACATGAAGTAAAAGATTTCGGACCTATAATAAAAAAAAAAACTTAACCTGGATGCAGGGATGTGGTAGAAGATTTCATCTCTGTGATAAATGCGGAATTAGAAAAATTAAAAGGGTCTTAAAGGTGAATAAAATTAAACCTTGAACTATAATAACTTTTGGGTGGTTTGGGGGATGTTAATTGGTGATAATGTTAATTGACCATTAGGATACAAAATCTCAACAAAAAAAAATTTCATCGTTTTAGTGAGGAGGTTAGCCTTATGATTTAGATTTTCGAAAACTTTGGAAGGGCGTAACTTTTTTTCTATTATAGATAGAAAGCTGAAATTTTCACTGAATCTTATCTCAATAAAGAGACTACAATCCCTGAAAATTTCAGGTCATTTGCACTTATAGTTCCTGAGATAAAATCGTGTTAAGCAATTTGGGGTGATTTATCAATTTTTCAATTTTTCTGAGTGCCTTTTTTCATAGATTTCGGCTTCAAATCTGGGAATAATTTAGTGTATGAGTTTTGGGGATGTTAATTGAACATTAGGATACAAAATCTCAACAAAAAAAAAATTGAAATTTTAATCGTTTTAGTAAGAAGGTATAGCTGATTTAGATTTTCGAAAACTTTGGAAGGGCATAACTTTTTTTCTATTATAGATAGAAAGCTGAAATTTTAACTGAATCTTATCTACTCAATAAAGGAACTACAACCCCTGGAAATTTCAGCTCATTTGCACTTATAGTTCCTGAGATAAAATCGTGTGAAGCAATTTGGGATGATTTATCAATTTTTCAATTTTTCTGAGTCCCTTTTTTCATAGATTTCGGCTTCAAATCTGGGAATAATTTAGTGTATGGAGTTTGGAGGATGTTAATTGACCATTAGGATACAAAATCTCAACAAAAAAAAAATTGAAATTTCATCATTTTAGTAAGAAGGTAGCTACCTTATGATTTAGATTTTCGAAAACTTTGGAAGGGCATAACTTTTTTTCTATTCTAATGTGATAAATTTTTAGTCAGTCCAATATCAAAGGTAACAAATTAAGAGATCCGCTAACAAATACTGACTAAAATCTAAATATACCAAACCCAATAAATTTGTATATCAAGGAATACATGGATCATGAGATCATTCCCAGAGGTTTATGCCACGGTTCATTAAACCTCATTATCATCAGAGACATGTTTCCACCATAATTGGAATAAGAACTTGAAAATAAGGATGAGAAATTTCCTAATTAGGCTCGACTTTCATATGACTCTATTTGTGAAACCCAACACACTTATATTTAAATGGTGGCGACATACAAAACGAAGTTTTTATGCCCGTCCATAGTTTTCCAGGAGCAAAAAATAAAAAACCAATGTCTGTACAGTGGTTGTTAACCAACACCTTAAGCTCCAAGCTCATCTAAGAATAAACCCCTTGCCAAGGTCAGAAACAAGAAAAAAAAATCCCATTTAGTTCAGCATAGTAACAAGAAAACTCTCATTTAACATCTACCTCAAATATTTTCAATTTTAGTTTCTTAAACTAAAAAACAGACTTTTGAATTTCTACAGTTGCCACATACAAACCATCTATCCTTGTCGACGGTAATTCTTACCTTAACTTTGAACATTTTCGGGCTACTCAAAGTTACAGTACCACTCTGTTCTGTCAAATCCAAGCGATGCGCAATATTAACAGGCCCGGCGAGAATGTCTGCATTGTGGGCGCGCAGATATTCTTCCGAAACCACCGGATTCTCAACACGCCTCAGCATGTCAATAGTGACTGTGTCATCTACTGAAAATTTCACGTCTTTGTTGTGACCGATGCCGTTTTTGTTTTGCCGCAACAAGGATATTTCCACGCAGGGTTTGGTGCAGCCCGGTTGCAGGGTAAAATGCACGTCGACGTGCCCCAAAACCACCGCGGTAGGCAGGGTTATTTCGAAAATATGCTCTTCCCAGGTGGTCGTGCCGGTTTGCAGTCGCCATGTTTTTGTGTAGGCTTCAGTGTTGACTACTAGGGTGCTGCGTCTTTGCCGCATTGCTTGTTGAAATTCGCTCCAGCAGGGAGGAACTACTACGTTGTAAGGGAAACTTGAAGGAAATAAAAATTATTTATTTATTCAAAATAAATAAAATATCTTACTTTGAGGGACTGAAATGCGTCAACTTTTGCATGGTCCTCAAATCCTCCAGAGCAATACTAATCGGGGGTTCTTTGAAACACCTTATTGATTCTAGCTTGTCCATAGACGACAATTCTCTTATGGAATTGTCAATGTTTACTCCAAACAAGTCATATTCTTCGTGATCGTCGGCCAAATCATTATCGCAGTCGTTTAAAACAAAAAAGTGAAGAGAACCTTTCACGGTTGAAGCACATAATCTGTCTAAACCTTGGAAAAATATTAAAAATGAATAGTTCAAAAAAATTTGCATAAAAAGCTTACTATTGCAATATGCAGCCGAAACGAAATATTCCCCATCAATTTCCGCTATACAACTCGTCTTCATCGTAGCTAAATCCACAATTCTGACAGCTCCGTCCATGCACACTAACACAGCGTGACCTTCCACGCCACTACTTCCAACTTTAGAGCTTATTTTAACAGGCAACAACTTGATTTCTACAGGCTGCTCAATCAGTCCTAGCTCTTTTACAACCACAGATTTTTCATTAATCTTCACCATTTTATTGGTGAAATCTAACGAATAGACTAAAAGAAAGCTTTTGCTCAAGCAACAAGTGGATGAAACAGTTACTAGTATATGTCCATCATCGTGTGTGGGTAAAATACTAACTATTTCCATGTTTGGGTAGCTTTTGCACACATCTGGCAAAGAAATACATTGCACTGCTCTGGAATAGTTCAGTTTTTTGTTTGATTGGTTGTTTTTCAGTTCCACAATGTGATCAGAGATAGTGCTGGGTTCGTTGGGCTCAGACGTAAAATGTCCATTAGTTAAGGATGCTAAAATATTGCTGGAAGCAGCTGTTGCATCCGATTCAGTGTTATTAACGTCCACTGTGATTAGTCTGGGCCCAGAGTGGTTTTTTTTTTTGGAAGTCGGGCACATTGGAGGTAGGAACACCGTGTCAATATCACCCGGAATTAAATTTTTATAAAACGACGAAGTCAACTCTTGAATTAAGGAAAACTCTTCATTGTTGGTCGTTTCAGGGGGCGAAATGTACTCAATAATATTCGTTATCTGATCGACCATCAAATCATCCACAAGTTGATTGCCCATTTCGTTTTCTTTGTTGTCCTGGTCCTCAACTTTGGGTTCTTCTTGTTCCTTGCTGTAAGTGAAATCGTAGACAACTAAATAGAGGTTTCGGTTGCTGGAGTTGCCTTCGGGGTCAGTGATTTGCATGCAATAATCCAAAATGGACGTCTGATACGATTCAGATGTTGGGTCGACATTGTCCGGATGGGCCGGTTTGATTGGACCTTGCGATATAGTGATGCCGCTAACGATTGTAGGCCTGATTGGTTTTGCTATTGCCTTTTCCTTTGCCGCTTTATCACTTACAATAGCTAAAGCGGTTACTTGTTTTTTAACTGATCTTTTATCTGGAAAAAAGAAATACTTAAGGATAAACTAACTTGCATCCGAATCGATTCTAATTGTCAATGTTTCTCAAATTTTATTCCCGCTACCAAGACACTGCAATAAAAGTACATATTACATGAAGTGAACTTTTTAATCCCACAGGAATGCTCAAAAAACTAAGATTCTTTAGTTATAAGCAATTACAACAATAAATCTACACAAAGTACGAGAAAATGAAGACTTGCGGGCATTATTTTAGATCTTCATTCTACTCATTCAACTAAAAGTCATGGTTCTAGAAATATTAGGCAAGAGTGTAGTCATAAAAAATTGAAGCAAAAATTAATCATCTGAGTCAATGTGAGTGCGAGTTGTTCCTGCAGATATTTATTTTCAATATTCTCAACTAGAGTTTCCAATTGCTTGATGTATTTGTTGTAGTAAAGAATCTTATAACAATGAATTTTATGGAAGCCCCTTAATAATCTTCCAATAAACCCCAATAATTAAAAGACTCTATTAGAATATTAGAAATACTTCCAATATCTAAATCAAATACCAATCAACACGTCAAGCTCTTTTACGGTGTCGGTTTTGTGCAGAACTCTAGAGTTAAATGGACACTTCACTTATCAATTTCCAGATTGAGAATATTCTCGACTCATTGAAAAGGCATCATCAGCTCAAATGAGAAACTTGAGATTTATTTTGACCCCATCAAACTACTAAAATATTTTGTAGAACCACATTTCCCTCATCTTTTCGCAGATGATTTGCTAATCTTGTCAAAAAATCTCACCATCATCGTTCCAGAAACCCGGCACATCAAAATCTTGCGTGATGCGTTCTAAAATGTGCGAATCGAAGTGCGTCACCAAAAACGAGTGAGTCCTCTTAATTTTGCGAGAAACATCATATACTGATATGAGCCCGTCCCTGCTGCAAGTGGGCAGTAGTTTTCCAACGCTACTTGCACCTAAAATGTCTAAGGTTCCTCCCCGAAATGTTGCATCAATGGCTGGACCTAAAAACAATATTGAGAGTCAAATAACTAGACATTAATAATTATTAATAATTACCAGTTGCATTAGTAACAGAAATTGGAACATTTTGTGTATATTCGCCAAGGACATAAGGACAATTGGGCGAATGCCTTTCGTGCTCGCCCCAAGGCTCGTCAGATCGTTCCCAACTCACAAGACAAACGGAACAAGTGAAACACATGGCCCGATCATCCCCCGATGAGTTGGGTTGATGATAAAAACCCGCCTGGGCCATTCGTTCGGGCAAAGCCCATTTGTAATCCATGTGAGGCCATTGCGAAAACGATTCACGTCTTCGAGCTTCGCTGGCCATCATTTTTCTATCTGACGCATTGGTTTGTTCGCCTAGGAGCTCAGAGATGCGTTCTTTTAAAGCCGAAGCAATTTGAAGTTCAGTAGAATGGACCTTTCTGGTTACTAATTCCGATACCATGATCCCGGTGGCACGTTTCAGGTCGAAGACTGGTACAGAAATGCAAACGGTGTTCCACTGGAATAACAATAATAATTATGTGAATGTGATAAGTATAGGTAAAAAGATCAATGAAAACTTTCTATATCTGGCTGCATAGTTAGGTCTAGCAGAACAACAAATTAATCTGATTAAGCATTACTTGCTCTTGTACAAAACCCTACCAGCAGTTACCTTTTGGGCTTTGATCCCTTTCTTATGCGATGACTGATCCTGGCCAACGACATTTTGCAATTGTTCTAAGATTTGTGTAGCATAAGCGGAGACATGATCGAAGGGTTTGCTGCTCAAACTTTGCTTAAAAATCTCCGCCTCCGTGAGTAACATTTCTATTTTGACAGTCTCCTTTTCGTTGGACAACGTCTTCTGCAACACGCTGTCCAGCAGTAAAACGCCATTGTAGTCTGATCTGACGCCGATAGCTTGTCCGTCGCAAAACAGCACCCTGTCCTCTGTCGGAATGTATCTGCATTTTATTTGTTTAGCGTTTTCGGCTGAAATAAAGAACAATTATTGTTCTGACTGATTTTGCTAATTTTGTTGCGTTTATTTCCGCGGACACCCTGTATGTTAAACAGCAGCATTTACAGATTGTAACAGAGAATCAAAGAATTAAAAATTTCTACATTTTTAATTACACAAGAACAATACTTTTGTAAACATTTTGGGACTTTATAGATCACCGACAACGGATATGGATGATTTTGTGAATAATTGAAGTAACATTTTAGATACTAGCTTATCTGATACTAAACAAATATAATAGGTTCTACTAGGGGATATAAATATTAACCTACCTGATATGATTTCTCCAATAGTACATAACTACATAACTATATTAAACTTATATGGATTTTTGAGCATCCAATTTATGTACAACAACATCAAAGTGCTACAGGTATTGGAAAATGGAATACGTAAAAAAATGTACAAACTGCGAAACATAATATTACCAATTGAAACTCTTATTTATTTACTTTAAAACCTTACACACTATAATATAATACCTAATTACATGCAAAGTGAAATTGACAAATGAGTACAAAACCCAGAATTTATAGCCACACAAAAAACAAAACCAAATAAAGTAACTAGTATAAAACAATGTGCTTTAAACAATGTCTCGACGCTTGGACAGTTTCTTTGTTCCATTTGCTTTAACATTAAATACATCCACTTTAGCTAATCTAGGTATTCAAAACATCATTCCAAATGGTCAACATGTTTTTTATTGAAACGTGGAATTGAATTATATAAAATAAATCTTTTTGAATTATTTTTGATCTAGTCTTTAAGAAATATATACTATCAAATCACACCCCTGTATTTGATACCATTTACGACATAATACACAAACATAAGAGCCTGATTCTTCCTTCTGGTGCAAAGCATCTGAAAATCGAACGTTTTTAACATAACCCTGTATAAGATCATGTATGGGTATTCCTTATTTTTCATGAGATACAAATCTCAAAAAGCACTTCTGTACCTTTTCAATCATGTCTGAGTGTAAGTATGCTACAGGCGACCAGATGTTTGAGGCAGATGTGGTCTCACCAGGCATTATACAGCAACATGATATGCTTTAAATATACATATGAATAAAGAATTTTAACATATAAATAAATATATAAATACATCTGGTATTTGTCTGAAACGTAACTGCCAAATCTGACAACATTTTTTCTCTCAATCTTGGTATCCTCAATGTAATAGTCCTCAATAAAGTAATGTTTCTCAGTGATCAGTGCTGGGGCCTATTTTGTTTCTCATTTTTATTATTAACATAATAAAACACGTATGAAAAATATAGCAAAATCAAACTATTTGCAGATGATACAATACTTAATTTTATTTGCAATAATAATGAATTTCAAAACATTGAAAAAAATTTAAATGAAGATCTTAATAACTTGCATGTTGCATGCAGGCAAATGGACTTAAATTGAATGTGAACAAAACAAAATGGTTCTATCCATAGGTTCTATCCTCAAAGCATAATTTAATAATTCAATTTAAGAAAAAAAAAGAAACATTGTTATTGATAATGCTCAAATTGAAGAGGTTGAATCTTTTAAATATCTAGGAGTAATGATAGCTGAGCTCAACCTTTCTATGCACTGTGAGTACATGAAAAAGAAAATCGCAAAAACAGAATTTATGTATAGGCTGAATAATAACGTTTCATTATTCACCAAACTAACATGAGTTTCATGAGGGCAGTTTTGTGATGCAATAAGTGAACTCCTATAAGAATTATGCTTGACAGGTTAAACCTTAAGAATGTTCAACCAGCTTTATATAATATGTTAGTCTTTGTTTATAAACTAAAAAATAATATGTAAGTAAGTAAGTAAGTTTATTAATCAAAAAATATTACACTTGTTAATTAAGCAATGTACAGGAAATATGACGCTTAAGTTTTCTTGAAACTTGTATGCGCCTTAACTGTTAGTACATTTTTCTATATATTATTGTATATTTGCTTACATATCTAAATTTATTCTACTCTTAATAAACTAATTATAATTGGGTACCTAAGTATAAGTAAAATTAAGGTTAAGGTACCTACCTATATAGTATGATATAGTACCTTTAAAAAATAGCTATATAATAAGGAAATGAATAATGCTTTCAAGCGAATGAGTGAATAAACCCAGCTAGAGACAAGAACAGAAAAAAGGAAAGAAAAAAAGGAGATCAATATTGAAAATCAAGCTACTGTGGTGTTCGTCATTTATCAGTAGGCATGATTGATAATTTGATGTACGTGACACCTATTGGTACGCAGCCAACAAGTCAAAGATTCCTTAAGCGTGTTTGTATTGCTTTTATTCTTTATGTTGCTTGGGAGTGAGTTGTATAGCCGAGGCCCTATAGCTGTTGCCGACTTATTTAATCGATGAGGTGGTTTACGTTAGAGATATTCATGCTCATAATACTAGATCAAGATCAGTAAATGACTTCTATATTGCTGATTCCAAAAGTAAACTGTGCTCAGTATTATGTGAAGACTTTATAAAACAGTTTGCAAATGGATTAGTAGGAATAGCATCTAATTATGATCTAATCCACCTGCAAGTTAATGTATGGGCTACATAGATCACCCTGTATATATTAGGACTATAGATGAATTGACACATAAATATTATAAAAAGCAATGTCAAGCCAAGTTTACTACCCTGTGGGACTCTGGAGATGGATTGTATTCATTAGAGAAACAATCACCCATGTAGGTACAGGACATCAAACTGCTCCTTTACCTCAAAAGCCATTGAAATTTGTTCAGAGGGTATACAGTGGATTTATCCCTTACAAAATCATTTTGAAACTTGCTGATTTTTTGATTTACACATTCAATTTTTTTCTCATAAAGAATGTTTTCAAATGTTAAACTATTCAATAAACTAATAGGCCTATAATTTAGAATCTCATTCTTTGCATCGTTCTTATGAATTGGAGAAATAGTTGACAATTTTAACACATGTGGAAAGCATTCCTGCCCAACGAACATGCTATGAAGATAAGCCAAGGGTTCTGCCAATAGTTTTGCACATCCTTCATATAAGATAGTATTTCATCATGGCCGGTGAATTTTTTGGGTTTGAGTTTTTTTATACCAATGATCACAATACTCCTCGCATAACTCTTTAGTTATGTTTCCAAAATCAAGAGTGCTCCATTCTATATTTCCAGAATGACAAAATCAAGAACAAAATACTTAGCAGAACCATTTGTAATATCAAAATGTTTATCAAACTTATCATTGTATTATCGGAATATTATTATACCTTCTGTAACTATTGAGGCCATACACTTTTACTTTTCTGGTTGCTTTGGAATAAAGGAGCACTATCAGGTTAAATACAGTAGGACCCCGGTTATCCGAGGTAACTTGGGAGACCCTTCTCAGATAACTGAAAACTTGAATAATCTGGATTTACATAAATTTATATTCTAAAAGAGTGAGAAGAGTTCAAAAAGTCTTCCCATTTTCAAGTCTGGAGATAGATGCAATGTTGAGAACTAACGTGGAATATCGATACTTTCAGGAAATATTCGGAACCTATAGATTTTACCTTATACCAGAACAATACCGATTCTCTAGCAAACGATCAACTGCATCCAACCTAGCAGTCTACCAGAACTTCTCAATAACCTCCGTTGAGGCTGGATACGAGGGCGACTCCATTTACACAGATCTAGCCAAGGCTTTTGATAGCGTGTGCCACCTCCTTCTTATAAAAAACTATCAGATGTAGGAGGCCTTAGCGAGATTTAATAAATATTTTAAATGAAAGTTCACTCAGTAATCTGTAATATCCACTTTTAATTGTAAAAAATTGTAGAAACTTGACAAACTTTAAAAAATTATCTGTCTCTGGGACAACTGCTGTCAACTACCTTTTCACGTGTTGCTGGTCTACACCATATCTATTGATATCCTGGAGGCAAAGCCTACAACTCGGCTTTCCTGACAAATATAGGCGACCTCGCCTATAAAACATAAAACCTAACATAAATTATTCATAAGATAGACATGCTTGCATAATGACATAAGGTATCATAAGGACGTGATAAAGTAGCGTAAGTATATAAGGTGTGATAAGTACATAAGGTATGACAAGAACATAAGGTATCATAAGAACATAAGGTATGATAAGGACATAAGGTATCATAAGAACATAAGGTATCATAAGAACATAAGGTATCATAAGAACATAAGGTATCATAAATACATAAGGTATGATAAGGACATAAGGTATCATAAGTACATAAGGTATGATAAGGACATAAGGTATCATAAGTACATAAGGTATGATAAGGACATAAGGTATAATAAGAACATAAGGTATCATATTTAAATTCAAGTATCACAAAGATGAACACGTTTATCAGAAACGATTTCTTCGTTCCGCACGTTTCTGCAGTCGTCGTTCATTTTGTTTTATAAATTAAGGCGGTAGCCATGAAGATGCAAACCATAATTTTGCACTGGCACAAATATGCAAACCATAATTTCGCATTGGCACAAATCGGCTTCTTTGTCCCACTAAGCCATGAAGATGCAAACCATAATTTTGCACTGGCATAAATATGCAAACCATAATTTTGCACTGGCACAAATCGGCTTCTTTGTCCCACTAAGCCATTAAGATGCAAACCATAATTTTGCACTGGCATAAATATGCAAACCATAATTTTGCACTGGCACAAATCGGCTTCTTTGTCCCATTAAGCCATGAAGATCCAAACCATAATTTTGCACTGGCATAAATATGCAAACCATAATTTTGCACTGGCACAAATCGGCTTCTTTGTCCTTGTTATTCCCACAATTATCCATCCATTATCCCACTTCTGAAGTTTGTAGGAGGCCTTAGCGAGATTTAATAAATATTTTAAATGAAAGTTCACTCAGTAATCTGTAATATCCACTTTTAATTGTAAAAAATTGTAGAAACTTGACAAACTTTAAAAAATTATCTGTCTC